AGTCGGAGCTGGAGGAGTAACCTCAGTCTAGGATGTAGATTTGGTAAGGTTAATGGGGTTCATGGTTCAGGCAGGGTCCTTGTCTTAACTTCCTGGCCTGCGCTGTGCTATGGTCATGAGCACATGGAAGACCCACCAACAAGTGGTACCGGTACTGTAGAGTATTATAGACGCCTAAATAGATTATTTCCTCGGGTTCCTGATTGTAAGTATCAAGGTACCCCAAAACCCTATTCATTTCTAATCATTCAGGCCCGTCCCGTGGTGGTTGTGGTCCTGGATTCGGGGAAAGCGAACCAAAACATGCCTAAGTCCGTCCCACATCCTAAGCGTCCCGACGCTTTGAATGTACCCTCCGACCGTCAGACGTGAAGGAGGATCAGGCCGATCAGGTCGAGGAGAGTGCGGCGGAAGAGAGCGGCCTTAGGCTTCACGCCCCGCCTGGGCCTCACGAAAATTGCAGCTGCGCAGAGTTGGAGACTGAACGCTGATCAGTGACGGGTGGCGTTGTTTTAAACAGAAACCAGACCTCGTCCAAACGAAAGTCCTGTCTACATCCTCCGAACCTCGGACGGGATACTCTCAGAATGCCATTCCCCGTATGAACAGTAACAACAACAATAATCAGCCACATCCCTACAACCTAACCCTCGAAGCCCCACCCGGAGTCGTCAAGTATCCAGGCTTCCACCAAAACCCCTGCCCGCGCTCAGCCCAGAGGAGGACCTATTCGGGATGCCGGGTTCGACCTCAGACAACCCTTGCGGAGCTAAGTGTTTCGGGGTTAGATCTCAGGGCCCTGACAGAATTGGATTTCCAGGAAATATTTTTAGTGGTGGATGTTAGCTTGCTTTCTTCTGTTTCTCACTGCAGTCATGAGAACTCTGCTGTTCCCGGCATGTGCTGCTCATGAAAACAAGATTTCCGAGCAGGTCAGATGGACGCCGGAAAAAGCATGCTTGTTCTTGAGAAGGTGTCGAGTACGGGGTTGAAGCCCCAACAGTTGGTCTGCTTACAACAACTTTTACACCACTACGCTCAAATCTTATGTTGTTCTTTGGGACGCTATCACAAGCCGGTAACTACTACTGGATCCTTGCAAAGGGAGGGTACACATCCTTATTCTAGGACACTGCAGAGGAAATGGCTTAGTGCTTTCCGACACTCTCAGCTTTGCTTGGTCTCCCCCCGGGCTTTCGAGGAGGAGCTGAACGAGATGAGACGCTTGGACAAGGTGGGAGGTTCTGGGGTTCAGGAGAAGTCGCGACTGGTTAGAGTCTCTGATACTACCAGTAGTCAGTAGTCGTCGTCTTTGTTGTTTTCGTGGCTTCCGTCGTGTAGGCGCTGCAGAGTAGTTGTCACAGCAGCAGCAGTGGTAGCAGTAACCGTAGCCGTAGCGTAGCCGGAGCCGGAGGAGGAGCAGGGTAGTCGTCGCTGTGCCGTGGTGGTAGTGATATATTGATAGTGGTCATAGTCCTGGTGCTGCTGGTGGTGGTGGTCGCAGTAGTAGTAGTAGTAGTAGTAGTAGTAGTAGTAGTAGTAGTAGTAGTAGTAGTAGTAGTAGTAGTAGTAGTAGTGGTAGTAGTAGTAGTAGTAGTAGTAGTAGTAGTAGTAGTAGTACTAGTAGTAGTACTAGTAGTACTAGTAGTAGTACTAGTAGTAGTACTAGTAGAGTACTAGTAGTAGTATATAGTAATTGCCAACCGGAGGGTTGCCTGCTTTGGCTTCCACCAGTCTTTTGCCAATTGGGGGCATATCGAGTGTGCTTTTCAGTCTTCGGTTCACATTCTTGAGTTTGCATGAGCACACCAGGGTGAAGGGATCTACATGATCTACCTGCAGCGCCAGGGAGTGCCACATCTCCGTCGTGCCCACGGCGAGCTCGCTGGCGCGCTCCAGCGACGCAGGCGCCGCAACTTCTGCGTATTTGGAGTGGAGTCTCAGATTTCGGCTTCAGGAATATGCGAACCGTCGACAAGGCTTCCGCTTTGGATTTGTGTTTGCATTTGCGGCACAAGCGTCGCAAGCCATGCCTGATGCTCCTGCTCTCCCCGCCGAAAATGCACATCTACACCTCCCGGAACTGATATCATGGTTGTTTTACTGGTAGTACAGATGGTAGAGCGATCAGTGCATTAATACTTTTTGTGCATGTAGATGTATGCTTGCTTGCATGTGCATGTGTCTGTCAGATTGTGTACAACTGTAACTAGGTATGTGTGCGCGAACAAACAAGTGTCCTCAAATGTGTTGCCGATTGAATGCGCATACCAGTGTCCAATACAAAGGTGCGTGTGCACTTGCATCCTTGCATGGATTTACGGTCTATGTCTGTCAGCCCCTCTTTGCAGTGTTCGAAACTTACATCATGCTGCGGCAAGCTGTGAGGGTGTAGGACATGAACGGGCTGTGCAGCCCATGAGAACAGCCGTATGATGACAAGCGATAAACCCCGCGCATGAGACGGCGCGACAACTGCGAGAAGCTTTCCCCGATGAGACCAGAAACTTTCGGCCACCGTTTCGTACCTGAAGGTTTGGGCCTCGCAGTGCAGCACTGGAGGAGGCAAGCTCGGTTTGCGCATGTTCAGCTTGGAGTTGTGCTTGCTCCATGGACCAGCGAATGAACGCATTGGAGCTGCCACAGAGAGGTCGGCGTTACTTTCAACCGCGAATAAGAGCTATAGTACCCACTCGCAAATCCCTGTCACTGTCACACATCGGCATTGGTGTTTGGTCGCATGATTTGGCAGCGTTGGTTTGGTCCCATTTCTTTCGACGTTGTGTTGGTTGGGGTGCAGTCCGTGTTGCTTGACGTTGAGCAGTGTGCTGGCGCATCCTGGTTGGTCTGCATGATCTGAGCTGCATGTGGATGGTATTTGTTGTTTGGCTTGTCGAGTATTGTTTGGCTTTTGGGGTTAATTAGTGCTCTTTATTTATTGTCCCTCGTAGCTCATACGACAGCGCGGCAGCTCACCAATGCTTTCGCGCAATCCTTGTCTGGACATGTCCGGTCATGAGGGTCGAAAAGCCTGAACGGCCCAAAACCCCAGGCTCCGAAGCTCTTAGAACTGTAAAGCCACAAGCCCGAAGCATGTCCGAAGCACCAGGCCTGGGCCCAGAATTTGGAGCAATGAACACCTAACAGTGGTTCGCAGATCGTCAGTCTTCTAGGTTAACGCACTGAAGATTCTGAATACCCCATAGACCCCAAATGCCCTCGCTGGGCCGAATGTGGCCTTCAAGCCAACGTCATGCTATTCGCAGGAAATCTATCATCTGCAGAGCGAGCTGGAAGCGGCCGTGGGCCCAAAGTCTGGGCTTTTCGGATAAGCATAGACAAGACGAGCCTCTAACAACTCAGGATGGTCGATGGATAGTTAGTAAAGTACCGTGCAAGGACACTGAGCATACGCACAGCGATGTAGCCAGCCGGACAAAGATACTTTTGCATCGGTGCCCGGGCATTTGTGCATGTTGCGAGCGCATCAGGGCTGCAGAGAAGTTGAGAGAGCTGTACAGCCCAGGACCTTTCTTATGTCAGTAGTACAGTAACAACAAGCAGGGCACGAATAAGAGGTACAATCTGCAAGCATGGGCAAGACTTGGAGATTGGTACGCGACCCGCACGAGGGGCATAAGACTCCGCAAGGTCCAGGAGCAACAACCCGAGTCACATCTATACCACGAAACTCAGAATGAGAGTAAGCATGGTGCCAGGATTCACGCGTTCCAGCGGCAAGTAGCAATTCCAGGCACATGACGACGAGAGTTGGCTCAGGGGTTGGTTCAGGTTCCTTGACCTGTCAAGCGACTAGAACTGGTTGAGGCGGGTCTACAGTCAGCACAAGGAGCCTTCATAACGGATCTTTACTTGGCCAAATCGGAACGGGCACTGCAGCGTTTTGGCTTTCTTGGCAGCTGAGCAAGCCACACCTCGCTAAAGGCCGATGGGGTTCGAAGTGCAGGGTTGGAATTCAGAATAGGGGCTGAGACGACGCGCGAGGTTTTTGTCTGCAACTTCCGTGCAAAGATGTAGTAGATGTGTGCGCTTGGGGTTTGTTTTACCACTTGTTAGACTTCTCCTCGTTGCTGAAAGTTAGAGTCGTCCCCCGCTTTACTTCAGCCTGATGCAGGGATCTACTCCGCTCCGTGGCATTGCGTGAGTGCGAAATAGGGTCGCATCATGAACCTAGGACGAGGGGCCAACCTCCCATTCCAATCTGGGCTACTGCTGTCGGCTGTTCCCGCGGCGAGAAGGGAAGCCACAGCCAAGCGGCAAGAGCATGTCAGTAGTATCCGTAGTCGTGTTGATGCTGTTGCTGATAGTGTTTGTGATGTAAATGGCAAGAATGACGTCGACCACAGTCAGAACAACCTACATAATAATCTGTACCATGGTCACGAATGCCGTGATGCTGAGGGTAAGGATATGGTGGTGATAATGAATCATGGCGCTGGCGGCAAACATAAATGCTGCCTCAATGATCGCCCCGAAGATAGTCGGGGAGGCAGGTGGCAACGAGAGCCGACGACAACGACGACGTCACTGTAAGTAGCATGTTCAATGTTATGTTTTGTGTTGGGCTTCTGATGGTGGTGACGACGCACCTGATCTCTGATGTGCTTGTTTCTGCTACTGCCGATAAATCATGATGCTAGCGACAACGGTGGCCACAGCGCTCCTGAGCTGCTCCACGTCATCACCATCGAAAAGTCATGCAGCAAGGCGTTGAGTGCACGTGATCTTCGTATCGAATCAATGTTAGTTTGTTCCTGGGCTTCGCTTCACCAATTGCATCGTGCCTACATGCAACTGTGGAGCTGCATGGAGCTGCGTAGTTGAGATTGCGGCCGAGTCTGTCCATGGGACTCTCGAGGATAGGAGTGGCAAGGGTCTACTGCAAGTGTCACGCATGTCCTTCTGCTGGGTAATGTTGGAAGAACCTGCTTGTTCGTTCCCTTGCTCTTGAGTTCTGGAGGTAGTCCCAGCGGATCACGATGGCCGTGGCGAACGAGACGGATTTGGAGGTTGCTCGCGAGGAGGCACAAGCCGGTCGTGTCAGAACCTGCCCAGCTTCGAGAGTACAGAGTCTGTACATGTTCAGGCAACTCTAGCCGCATGCCGGAAAAAGTGACCTGGCAGGTTGCAGCCAATGCCGAAAACTGCGTCAAGTTCGAAGAGCTGATTCTTTCCTGACATGAGAAAAATTTGCTTTCTGTGGATGAAGCACAGCACTGTCGGGCACTCGAGCAAGGCCAACCAAGAGCAAATTGTCATCGTTGCAGTGCTGTAGTCGTAGTCGTAGTAGTAGTAGTAGTAGTAGTAGTAGTAGTAGTAGTAGTAGTAGTAGTAGTAGTAGTAGTAGTAGTAGTAGTAGTACTGGTACTACTGCTACTACCACTACTACTCGTACTCGTCGTCGTCGTCGTCGTAATCGTCACTATTTGTCGTCGTCGGCGTAGTCGCAGAAGAATTAGTACTCGTTACTCATCACAATACCTGTAGGCATATATAAGCCATAAGCTCGTGACTCCTTATGCGTTTGTCTATGGTAGCTGCAATATTGCTCGAGGGTCTGCCGTCTATGTTGCATGTTGTTGCCAGTAGGGGGAGTGCGGTTGTTGCATCGATGTTTCGAAGCAACAGTCTGTGAAGGAGCAGCAAAGTATCCTTGGCCACAGGATTGGGAGCTTTCATCTGCAGACTTCTCGCCCATTTCGCATTTCGTCGCGGGCTGTGCTCAAGGTCAAGCCCCAGCCCTGAACCTTAAACTATAGTGGGATCTCCGACTGTACCGCAGGCGGAAAAAGGCCCTCAAAAAAAAAAAAAATATAGTGGGAGAGATTTTCATTGCCTGAAGCCGTGCCTGCCTCGAGCGAGTGTGCACGTCGAAACTGTACTTGGCTCACTGAGGAGGACTACCAGCAAGCCGTCCAATGGCCAATGCGTCGCATGCCTGAAATCCTAGGTGTGGAGATTCAGCATTTGGTGTTGGGCGTTTAGGAGTTTAGGGATGTTGTCAGGTCGGCGGACATTTGGGTGGCAGCTCGGTATAGGAATGACTGCAAGCATTGTAATGTTAGCGCGAGCTTCAGGATTCTGGTTTTTACTGGAGAAACTGGGCCCACAGCTGCCGATGCTGCGACGATGACGCTGACTATAGCTAAAAAGGCCTTACTTGTGCGTCGTCGTGTGTTACGACGACCGGATGACGAGAATAATGAAAGCAACTGCGAAATAATAGTAGCTGCAGTTGCAGTCGTGGTAAAGGTCATGATCGTGGTTGTGCCGGTGATGGTGGCTGCAGCAGGGGGAAGTCCGGATGTGGGCTGGCACGAACGCTTCTTGAACAGACGAACAGTTGTTGCTTACACTGTGTGGACACATCCTGGCCCCTTGGGAATAGTGACTTCTTTTACCATGTGTGCAGGCAGACTTCACAAAAACAAAGACCATTACACCACTGCCATGAGGACGAGTACCTCGACTACTACCATCACCACAACAGTACAGCCACCACTACAATACTACTACAACCAACACTTGATACTATACAACATTGTACTACACCTACTACTGCAATCTGTTGCCAGGTTGTCGTGGGCGGTGCTTGCGTGCCGGCACAGGCGCTTTGCAACTTCGCGGAGCAGCTGAACCAGGGCAAGGCCCAATTGGGAAGAGTGTCTAAAAAAGGCACAATCCCAACGAAATATGAAGAATTTGCCCTTTCTGCTGTGACAGGTCGTCACAGCGCCCAAGGAGACTCCGGAGGACAGGCGCATAAGGTGCGTGATGCTGACGTTGCAGAAGTGCACATGCGGCGTAATTAGGAGTCCGAGGGTTGGAAGCCCCGACTCCAGTTGCGGCTCAGGTCTTAAACTCTTTACTGGAACAGCCTGCTTGCACTCGTAGTCTGCTGAAGATGATGATGTAACAGTTTATGTTCCGTCTGATGCGTCAGTTGGGTTTAGAATTAGTTTGGTTGATGTTGTTCGTGTCAGCAGCAAGTGGAAACATTATGAAGCATTCCTGGTTGAGATCTGTTACCATGTTGAACCGGGCACATGTTGCAGAGACTCTGGTCAAGTCTAGCCAACGATAGTCGGCACATCCCGCAGAGAAGGCTGCTGACATCATGAGTGATTTCCCATCTTCAGTTCGGACTAGTCGTGTTCGCAGGACAATCGTGACCCTGGCCCCAGGGCGGCATCCCAATCACTCCCGTAGGCCCTCATGACTGGATTTGTGGATCCTTTGTTGATCTGCGAGAGCTCGTGGGGTGCAGCATGTGCATTCGCTTGCATTGAGATCTAGCAGAACAGCCTTCGGATGCATTCCCATTCAGGCATACCCCAGAACCAAAATGCGGATGGAGTTTGCTGGAAGGATGACCGGGTGGTGCTGCTGCGAGCGCTGGCTGCAGAGGTTGGGACTGCTGGCTTTGCTGACATTGCCGCTGCCTGAAGTGTAGTTCTCAAAGATTTCGGGTAGACAGCTTCAGTTTAAACGCAGGTTTTTGCGGGGTTCTAACACTTTCGAGGTTTTGACCTTGCTAACGTGAGTTCGAGGAAGAACAGCGCTTAGCTGCCCTTGCTACTGAGCACTGACACACAACATGGCAGAAACGGCAAAACGCAAGAGTTCTCAACAACAACAGCGACCAAGACTGCAGCCAGGAAGAGAACGAAGCCAGAAACAGCATCAATGGTGACTGGTGAGAATCATTGCGTCAGGCAGATCGGGGAACAACAGGGTTTTTGATGCTGCTGAAACACGGTCGTGATCACCGCCAACAGCAGAAAGCATTAGCTTCATTGTCGCAAAAGACCATGGTCAACAATGCTCCATGCAGGCGATTGGCACAGGCCTTATCGCCCCTTGGCTGAAGAGAGGTCATAGACGTCGAGTTGTTCGTGCAATTCGTTGTGAGCAAGTAGGCAGCTTGTTTTGGTCTGAAGCCCGGTAGACTTGCTCTCGACAGCGCGCTGCAACAGCAGGGGTCCCTTGAATCGAATTGGCGATGGTGGTAATGAACCTTCACTCGCCAACCCACCCGACATCCCGACGGGGGTTGTTGCCAGAATCCGAAGGAGGAGGAGAGAGAGAGAGCGAGAGAGAACACCCGCGGTGGGCAGATGCTACAGAGGGCAGAGGGTCCCCAAGCTCTGCTTGCCACGAATTTCGATATTGCATTTGAGCCGCTTCTCGGTCGTTTTTTGGCGTATGCGTGACAGAGTTGCCGCGCCCTTCGCTCCACAGCTTGTTCCCAATCACGGAAGGACACTGCAAACCTCATGTTTCGGGTTTCACCGCTTTGGGTTTCAAACCTGCCGAAGAACAGAGTCTGGTCTTTGCTAAGGTCCTTTTCGGCTGTGGATCAGTCTGTGCCACTCTCTCTGGGGCGTACAGCGGCGTTTGGCAGGTGCCCGGCTAGTTTGTGCAGGAGGTTGCGTCGCATCGCCTTCCTACCGCACATGCGGCCAATCTTACGTACCACCAGCTATTGATGTCATGGTTCACACAAGCTACATACAAGAACTCCAATGCTCTCCGTCCTGTACTGTGTGCGCTATACTTGCACAGCTGCACAGCGAGAATGGAACGGGAACCATGTCATTGGAAGCATCATCCCGGGCATTTATGGCCTAGATATGTAGACGGCCGGCAAAAAGGTCGCACACTGACAACCGACAAGAAAGGAGTGACTCACGAGATCGGGAGTGATGTAGCTACCGGCGGCAGTTGTGGAGGCAGAAGGTAATCACGTTGCCGTGTGAGTTTTTCTTGCCGGATTTTGGGCACGGGTCCGTCTCCAGTTTCCGGACCAAGCTCTCATGGCCAGCCTGCGAGGTTGCTGCTGTGTGGGGCCTTGGCGTGTCGCTGGCCATCTATTGCACTGCAGAGGCTCGCAGTGTGTGTAGGGCTATACCCTACGAGGAAGCGAAGAGGTGCTGGACTCTCCGCAGGATTGCAGGTGGCGCGTGGCCGGAATGTTCCTATTTTATGCGGTCAGTGCTATCGTAATGGAAACAAAGCTTGCATTCCCAAGCGGCAGTTTCGCTTACAGATTCCGTTGCTCCGTGGCCATCGATGGTCGGGCCTCTACTAGCAACATCAGCCGTTATCAGTGGAGAGGAATCACACAAAAAAGGGAGCAGCGATGCAAGCCCGGGAGTGGCCGCGACAAGCAAAGCATCGATCCGCCCGAGTTTCATCACCATGGACACGGCGAGCATGATGATGAACATGAGGGCCAGTATCCCTGAAATGACGCGATAGTAGACCTTGAATCCAAGTCTGGGAGCTATTCTACGAGGTCTCTGTTGTCGCGTAGCTTAGGTACTATCAGCAAACCCTAGGCCCGAATTTTGCCAGAGAGGGTTGCATATAATATTGGTTCTGAAACCGAGCCGGGGAACCGAAGCGTGCGGCAAATGGGCATAAAGTTTTCGTCCATCGTGCTGTGATATTCAACCGCATGACTCTGGTAGTGGGCCTCTCCGCCCACCTGGAAAACGCACAACTTTGGAGCATGAAAGCGCAACATTCCCTCCAGGCCAGTGGCGCTCATCTCAACCCGGCTGTCACACTTGCCTTCCTGTGCCCGGACCGCAACTAGGACTTGTTGCTTCGGTGCATTTCGGTGCGTTTTGTTTGACAGAGGGGTCCTAGTACGATATGAGCTTCATTTGGTGAGGAGTTCCTGATGTTGAGCTTTGGCTTTCGCTGCTGATTACGCAGATTTTGTGGACTGACAAACGTCGAAGAAGCCACCTTCGGGCTTGATGCAAAAGCCTTTGTAGGGTAATGGTTGTTGCAGGTAACAAGGCCTTTGTTTGTATCGTGCGCAGCGTGAAGTCATACATTTTCACTTTACATCATGTACCCTTGTAATGATGTACGCTTCTGTGTGAAGAGGAGTTGAGGATTCAGGTTACGGAAGAGCTCGGGACGAAAGATCCCAAGTCCCCAAGCTGTGACGTCGAGGGTTGTCGGTTAGCGTCGAGAGTAGAGATCTCAAAGTTCAATTATGACTGTGAGCCACCACTACCCTTTTGCAAGGCTCGTGCGCCCTCAGGCGCACGGAATGACCGTGGTGAAGTCGCTGCTGCACAGCATCCGCATGAGTTTACAGAGAGTCTTCACGGCTTGATGTGATGCTTGGTTCTCAAACCGGGAGGGCGTTTGAAAGTTTGTGTGCGGCATTGGAATATAGTTTCGCTTAAGACCTCCTTGTGGTGGATTGTCCTTGGTTCTTCAGCGTCCAATCCCGACCCCCAACTGCCCTGCTTCGTGTACTCAACCATGCAGGAGGCAAGATATTAAGCCGGGCCCCCCAATAAAAACATCGGAAAGGGACTTTTATTGATACTAGTAGGGAGTGTTGTTACCTCGATCTATTGTCACTGTTGAGGGGTCTTGCTCCTGCGCGGGCTTTTGCTTCTGTTCTTGCTGGATCTGTTGCTCTCGCTCGCGCGCCTGCGCCTGCGCCTGCTCTTGCTGTTGCTGCTGCTCTTCCTCCTGCGTTTGCTCTTACTCCAGCTCTAGCTCTTCCTCCTGCTCATACTCTTGCTCTTGCTCCGGACCCCCCACATGCAAATTGGGTTTTGAAGGGCGGGGATGATTTCGGGAGGATGGCACCAAAGTGTTCTTATTATAGGGGGGGGGGGGGTGCCTCGTTTCTGGGGGAAGGGATTAGTATCGGCTTTCCTAGTTCAATGCTTTGGCAGCCCCAAGAGCCCATTGCAAGTGGTTTGGGCTATCCCAATAAGGCATTCAACGCAAGCCGTCCCTACCACTGACTGGTCCCAAGATCCCGCAAATTGATGTGAGCCTTCAACAGTCACAGATCCTGCATGATCCTGCTCGATTGCTGTCTATGCTCCCAAGCACCCAGAGCTCCAAACCCTAAGATTGCACCCAGTTGCGAGATCGTAAGATTGCTCTCAGGCGCGGATCAAAATACCCTAACACTACACCTTGACTCTCATGGAGATCCCAAGCAGTGGGCCAAGCAAGGTATGTAGTGGCACAGATGGTCGGTGCCATTTTGGCTGGAGCGACGCTGGACCCAGAAGATTAAGTCGTACTAGTAGGGATTTAGGCTTTGGCCATGCTGAGCAGAAGACTTCTTGGGCAGTCGTAACCAATGATCAGGATACTTGGCTGTTCCCAGATAACTATTGCAAAGGGCATGCGAGGCTTCAGTTTTTTGGTGTTGCTGCTCGGCATGTTTAGTTTGAGATTGCTCTGCAGATTCTCCGTTTAGTCTCTCCTGCCTTCGCTGCCTCGGCTTTGCGTTTGGGATGTTGCAGTGTATCCCGGAAGCACCAAACGCCAGTCATAATATGCATCTATGTCCTGGAAAGCCTAAAGCCTACCAAGCCCTCGCATTGAGAGATGCTTCAGACACTGTCCCTGCCAAGAACCTTCGCCAATTGTGGGCGTTCGTCTGCTTTCTCCACTCCCCTCCTCATCTTATCAAAGCAAGTAGCGAGATGAATCTCCACTTCCTCGTGAAGACATTCACCTGATGTCGTCAGGCTGAACCTCCTCATCTATGGCGGTACCATTGCCGCGTTTGAACGTGAGTGGCCTGGCTCAGGGCTATGCTGAGAAGATTTGGCTTGTATGAGAGGGCTCAGCTACTGCGGGCTCAGTGTTGAAGGCCCTCAAGGTTTGAGGAGAGGGTTTTAGTTTGAGGGTTTAGCCTGGTGACCCATTCGGTATTTGGCACGGGCAGGAGTGATGGCTCAAAACTAGACTTGGAGTTAGTTCTCGTTCTTTGTCGAGATGGCCTGTCTTCACCTCTTAGTAACTTCGTGTCTCAAGTGTAGATTTTGTCCTCGGCTTGGACCAGGAACAACATCGTCCGCGGTGAGCCCAGATCGATCCTCTCAGCCTCAGCATTTGGCGAGTGACTCGGCCTCGAAATGCGAAGCATGAGGCCATCTACTATAGGGGCCTTAATAAATACTAGTATTATTTTGGGGGTTCGCTTTTGTAACTGTAGTATAATGGGCGCCAAAACCCCATTCTTATCTTGGTGGCCGTTTCGGGGATTTTTAATTTTTTGGTGTTTTGTGGGGTTCATTGCATACAACCAACTGCAGCCTTCAGGCTCGAGGGGTCAGACCAGGCATCAATCCAACCAGGTGTTTCCAGTGGAAACACCTGGTTGGAGTTGATGCCTGTCGGGGGATGCACGGACATCCCTCACCCCTGCAAGATGTCTGTGGTCCCACCACCGACATCTTGCAGGGGTGAAGGATGTGCGTGCATGAACCCCGACCGAGGCCCCAGCGTGCATGGATAGAGACATCCATCACCCCCGCAAGATGTCTGTGGTCCCACCACTGACATCTTGCGGGGGGGAGGGATGCCCGTGCATCCCCGACCGAGGCCCCAGCGTGCATGCACAGACCCAGAACAATGCACCAGGCTCGGTCAGACCCCAGCATGCA